ATGTAATCCATGATTGAATTTTATGTAATCCATGTATTGTAATTTTTAGTAAAATTTGTGTATTTTTTTTTTTAATCCATGATCGAATTTTTTTTGTAATCCATGATAGAATTTTTTAAAATTTGTGATTTTTTTTTAATCCATGATCGATTTTTTTGAAAATTTGTATTTTTTTTTTTAATCCATATTATTCAAAGAGAAAATGAGAGAGATGATGATTCTGAGGCCACCCTATCCCAGCCATATTATTCACATATCGAGTCCCAACAGCAACAGTGTAGGGATGAGCACGAAATACTGTAAATTAAATGCTGAATGGCGGTTCATGCAGGGAAAGAACGTATCAATATTCGCATATTCATTCAAAAATATGAAAATTCTTAATGGAGTACCCTCATTTTTTATTGAATTCCTAAAAAAAAATATTTGTAATGAATTTTAATAATTTTTTCGAATTTTTTTTAAGCTTTATTCTGACCGATTCACCCGATTCCCGATCCGGATCGGTTTTTTGGAAGCCCGATCCGGATCACCGATCCGTTTTTTAAACCATTGGTTTGTACGTTAGTAAGCGCTCCATCGTACATATATCTCACTAAGTCGATGTTGTATATCCACCAAATCAAATCTTGAGGTACTCTATCATAAGCTTTGTCTATGTCAGTAAAGACCATGTGGAGGTCTTTTCTCTTCTCCCTAAATTTCTCAATCAATTGGCTAAGTAGGAAAATAGCCTTAGTTGTTGACCTGCTTGGCATGAAACCAAATTGATTTTCAGATACATTCGTTTCATGCCTCAGTCGTTGCTCAATCACTCTCTCCCAGAGCTTCGTAGTATGACTCATAACCTTGATCGCTCGATAGTTTGTACAATTCTGTATGTCTCATTTGTTCTTGTAAATAGGTACCACAATTTTTTTCCTCTATTCATCTGGCATTTTCTTTGTTCTCAATATCTTGTTGAACAACTTCGTCAGCCAGTCAATGCCAATCTCCCCTATACACTTTCAAACCTCTATCAGGCTACCATTTGGTGGTCCTAAAGCCTTTCCTATCTTCATCATTTTCAAAGCTTCTTTCATTTCCGATATCCTAATCCTACAAATGTCTCTATGACCTCCACCCTCATTTATACCAATAGTTCCTGCTACCGTTATGTTCCCATTGTATTTGTCATTTAATAATTTTTGAAAATGAACTCTCTACCTTCGTTGACCTCTTCATCCTTCACCAAGACCTTTTGCTCATCACTCTTAATGCATTTAATATGGTCTAGATCCATACATTTTTTCTCTCATTTTTGCTGATTTGAAGACATTTTTTTCACCTTCTCTTGTTCCCAATTTACTATATAGATTATTTTAGCCTTACTTTCCATTTATTTAGCATTTTTCTTAGCATATTTATATTCTTCTATGTTTTGATCGTTGTTTCTATTACATTGCCAAGTTTTATAACATGATATTTTTTCGCTAATAGCCTTCTGAACCTCATCACTATACCACCAAGTTTCCTTATTGAAATTTCTTTTTCCTTTAGATTTTTCTAAATTGTTTTTTTGCCAAAGTACATCAAATAACATATTTGTTACTTAGCCAAAAAAGAAACATATTTGTTGGTCTGTGGATATAAGTGCAAGGCTTGTTTTGTGGCACGTGGCAATGTTATGTTTGTCTATTGATTTTATGTTCAATCTAAAATGAACCATACTTCCAAAATGCACCCTCTATCGTGTGGTTCAGCTTGGTTTGCATGAGGAAGATTCAAGCCCTAGATCTCTCTTCCAAAATCAAAAGGCCTGGTTGACAAATGAAATGGACGCAGTAGAGTTCTTTTGTGCTTCCCTATCAATCCATGATTTCGCAATTATAATTGCAAAAGATAAATACTCAATCAAATTTTTTTTGCAAAAGATGAAGAGAGGTCTTGTGTACATGCTGAAGAGTCTGCAGAAATGGCATAACCTAGATTGTTTTTTAACTTCAATTTGAGAAAAGCTTGACCTCTTGGTTGGTGCTGTCTCCAAGAACTCGAGATCTTTGTGGACATTGGAAAATCAACATGCATCTTCATTATGAGAATGTTTCTGATATTGGAGATAAATTCTTATTGCTCAAGAAACATGGCACTGTATGAATCTGTATCCATTTTCCCTTAACTTCTTTGTGCTTTGTTCTCCATTATTTTCACTACGTTTTAATTCTTTCTTTTAGGCCCTTCCGGGAGCTTTTCCTGCAGTTGTGGCAGGAGCAGTTCGTGCTATCTTTGAAAGGGTTGGTGACTTGGATATGGAATGCCGCACGCGGCTTGTCCTCTGGTTTTCGCATCACTTGTAAGTCTTTTGGTTTAATTATAATTGAAGCTTTTTTCACCATCACGATATATTTCTTTGGTTTATGCTATGTACTCCCCATTTATAATTTACCTTATGGTTATAGGTCAAATTTTCAATTTATTTGGCAATGGGAAGAGTGGGCTCATTGCTTAGACCTTCCTAAATGGGCCCCACAACGTGTTTTCGTTCAGGAAGTGTTGGAAAGAGAAGTCCGTTTATCATACTGGGATAAAATAAAGCAGGTCGTGATTATTGATTTAGTATTTCTCAAACTATCATCTTGAATTTTGCTTGACTGGTGTTTCTACTCTTTTTTTTTTATTTGTAAAAAATTGAAATTATCAATTTCATGCAGAGCATAGAGAATGCCTCAACATTAGAGGAATTGCTTCCACCCAACGGTGGGCCCTCCTTTAAATATAGTGCTGGGGATAGTGAGGAGCACTCCCTCTCAGAAAACCTTTGCACCATGGTCAGAGGAAGGAAAACTGCTCGTGAAGTTATATCGTGGTTAGAAGAAGCTATTGTACCAACCCATGGCCCAAAAGTTGCACTTGAGGTGGTTGTTCAGACTCTCCTAGATATTGGATCAAAAAGCTTCACTCATCTTGTTAATGTGTTAGAGAGATACGGTCAAGTCATCTCTAAGCTATGTCCAGATCAGGAAAAGCAGGTGTGGCTTATAGACGAAGTGAGTTTGTATTGGAAGAACAGTGCTCAGATGACTGCCTTAACCATCGACCGCATGATGGGTTACCGCTTGGTCTCAAATCTATCCATCATCAGTTGGGTTTTCTCTCCTGCTAATGTTAAACAATTTCATACATCTGATCGTCCATGGGAGGTACCGTGTGCTCCTCCCTTTCAAATGACCTATCCTATTGAGATTGTTGTAAGAGCCAGTACAATCTCACTCTGCCAATCTAAAATGGATTGACCCAGTTGATATATGTGCTGCCCAGTGATTTATCGTGGCTTTTTTTTTTTTTCTAACCTTTAGGGATTGTATACTGTACTCCATTGGACAATGGGTGAAAAAGTAGTCCATTGGAGTCATCACCATTGGATGAAATAATAGAGATATGGGGGTGAGTGGAACCTACCTGTTCTGTTGTCTCTCTCTCTCTCCCTCGGGGGGTTCCCTCCGTCCCTTCCTGTCTCTCTCTCTCAATTCAGAGGATAGTGATGACCCCAATGGACTATTGTTTTCTATAATCCATTGAATTGATATCCATGGAACATTGTTCCCTTGGAAATTTGTTTGTTGACTTTGGTTGTCTTCATTATGTGTTTAGATTCACTCATTCAGCTTCTTCCATATCTTGTATTTGTTAGATTCTGAGAAATGCTGTGGGCAAAACATACAACCGCATTCGTGATCTGAGAAAAGAGATATCTTCTCTCGAGAAAAGCATTGTTTCTGCTGAAGCTTCTGCAGCTGAGGCCCAAGCTGAATCAGATGCTGCCGAATCAAGGCTTGAAGTAGTGGATGGAGAACCTATTCAAGCTGAACCCCCTTCGAGATTGAAGCGCTTGAAAGCATTTGCAGAGAAAGCAAAAGAAGAGGCAGTTTCTCTGCAGGAATCTTTGGAGGCTAAGCAGGCCCTCCTTTCACGGGCCATCACTGAAAATGAGGTATCCTATGGCTCATGTTTTCATGCTTTTGACCTTGTATATAGTTCTTTGCTCCCTTCATTCGATATAGTGGGCTGTTGTATTGTTTTCATTTATTTCTTTTTAAATGATTGTTCTATATACAGATCACTTATTATATTGCATGTGTCACCTAGAAGTATTGTTTCAAATGATTATTTTTTCATTTTGTACCATGCAATACAGGCAATGTTCATATCTTTGTACAAAAGCTTGGCAAATGTGCTGATGGAATGCCTTCCTCGCGTCTATTGTGACAAGCATAATGATCACATCCAGTTAGATCTTGATGATGAAGAATCATCCAAAATGGACGTGGATGATGATGAGAACAAAAAATCTAACCGGTAAATAATCCATTTAGTTGCTGTTCCATGTATGAGATCCAATTGTGTTATTTTCATTCACTTTACTTTATTGCATGTTTTTTTTCTTGGACGGTTGATGTTTGCTAGGGGAGGTGAAATTAATGGCCATGACACACAAGAAGAAGAGCATTGGTGCCACTGTACGCTGGGATATGTCAAGGCTCTGTCTAGGCAGTACGCTTCTGAGGTAATAATGTTGCATTCTTTTTCCTTTCCCAGTGGATTGTCTACATGTTGGTTCCTCAGAGAAAGGCTATTCATGAGATGCTAATATATTATTATTTTCCCCTTGGGGATTGGGGTAGCTACTGATCTTATACACTAAAATTGTGATGTCTTCTGATATGTTGCAGATCTGGCTGCATATAGAGAAGCTGGACGCTGAAGTGTTTACAAAAGATATGCATCCATCCTTTCTAAATGCAGTGTATGCTGGGTTACGACGTCCTTATCGGTGACATTCCCATTGAAAACCAAATGAATGTACTTGTAAGTAGTCTCAAGGATATTTATTATCGAAGCTTTCATCTTCATCCTCTTTATAAAGGCTATTCAGTTTACCAAGCCAAGTGGTGGAGGATATAGGGAAGAACTGCCCTTGAGAAGATCAGATCCTTTTTGTGTTTCTTTTGCCTTTACATTTTACTGAAAACGTGGGTTAGGGAGTTTTGGGAGGAAATTGTGTTTTAGCTTGTGTTATTTTGAGCTTTACTGAATCATGTATAACATTTTGGAAGTGTTCTGACTACCACTGATGTAGGAATGTTTATTAATGAAATTTGGGTCTTGCACTCGTAGAGACTTTGAATAGGAAGATTTCAATTCGAGGAGAGTCTTTTGGGATGTAGGAGACTGTCTCACTTGGGGTGGAACGAGAATTATTAGAGTTTCCTTTGCTTTTACATTTTTTGTATTTTATATCAGTGTATGAAGGTGAAAGATTTGCAATCTTAATCTGATATAAAATGAAGGGTGATATAAAATGAAGGGAGTGTATACAATGAGATCATTTATCTTTCATACATGGAGGTGATATAAAATGAGGGATTGTATATAATGAGATCATTTATCTTTCATACATGGAAGTCACAATTACTTACAACCATCCGATGTGAAATCTGATAATTCCGATGTGTTACAAAGTTCAAGAAAATTTCTTTTGGATTTTGAACTTGATTAATAAAATAACTCAGCCACCCAATATCGCATCCAGTGGTCAAGATCAATTGTGACGTTGTACTAAAGGTAAATGGTCCGTTATATATTTTCCTTAAAAAGGAATTGTACTGCATGTTATCAAAAAGTAGTGGGAGTGGAGCATAAAAGATGAAATATAAGTGGACATTTTTTCAATTTTAAAAATAAAATGTGCTTTTTTGTAATTTTCCTTTTATTTTTTTAAGCTTCGGTTTTTTGCCTGCTTGTTATTATTGAATGTGGTGGGTGTTTATTTGCTTGATTCTGGTAATTGGTTTCATATTTTCCTTTTAGGGAGGTTTTGTGATCAGTTCCAGCAACAAATATAAATGTTCAGGAACTAATGGCACTCTTAGAGATTAGATGGATAAAAAGAATATAGACATGTATTTAAATAAAATTCATATTTTTAAGGATTCATTCTTAAACTCATTCAAAATATTTTTTTTATAGTTTATTCATCTATCTAACCATTCCTAATTTTTTTTCTCATGTTTATGCTTAGAGATTAGATGAATAAAAAGAATATAAACATGTATTTAAATAAAATTCATATTTTTAAGATTCATTCTTTAACTCATTCAAAGTATTTTTTCTATAGTTTAATCATCTATCTAACAGTTCCTAATTTTTTTCTCAAAATTTTTTGATATGTTAAATGAAATATTCAGTTTTGGTAGGAACAAGTAGCATACAAAAACCCCTTCTAAGTTTATTTCTTTGTTGCTTCGATTTTTATCCATAATAAAGTGCAATATTTGGAACACAAAAATAAAATGCTCTATTTGGATAAAAAAATATAATGGACTTTTATCGAGAAATGAATATAATTTATTTGCGACTTCATCAGTTGGATTTAGATAATAATTTAAATAATTAAATAAGAAAGTAAAAAAATATTTAGTCAAAGAGATTGGATGATGAGATTTTGGAGAGAGAAGAGAGAGCGGAAGGCATTTTTATAGATTTGGAGGAAAAATAAGCATGTTGACTAATTTAAACATCACGTAACTGTTTTTTCTACATTAATACATTTAATTGAAATATAATAAATAGTTTTCATTTTTGAAAAGGGAATTTACCTAAATACTCACAAGAGATTAGTTTTTCAACATTCTACATTCAATTTAAATATACCCATCAAAAGACATAATCATGACTTGAAATAGTTGCAAGAGGGTAGAATATTAAATAGTTGCAAAGTATTTTGACAAATTTTTGTACTTGGCAATAAAAAGAATTTTAAGTTCTAAATGTAATGTATCTTTTAATAAGTAATCTTGACAGTTTATTTCCAAAGTTTTCAATTTTTTTATAGAATCGCTCGATCTGTTTCACTTTTAAAATTTTAAATTCCATAATTAAAATTTGACATGAATTTTCAAGCAATTGTATGATAAGGTGGACACGTTTTAAAAGCCTCACCCTTTCCTGAAAGGATGCAACTTCTAAGGCTTATGAAAACAAAGTAAAGCCTCGCCTTGAATCTTTGTTTGGAAAGCCCTTTGGGCATTGAAAATTTTCATAATGATTCTAAGATCAATTTTGAACACCTTATATGGAATTTGTATGGTATAGATCTTGCAAATCTGATGGTCTAAAAAGGTTAAGGACCTTAAATATTCTTTTAATCCGTTTCAAGCATGGTAAATGAGATGTTGGAAATTTGGTAGGTGAAATGGGAGCATAAAATGACACGATTTCATAAATAGGATCTTAAACTCTTCATGTTTTTGGATACATATGAGTGTTATCTCAAGACGATATTTGTTCCCATTCGATATAGTATTTGATTTGTATAGGAAGGGTAATTCGTCATCTGGATGCAAGAAAACAGAAATATATTTTTCAATATTTGTAAGATCTATGTACATGAGCTTGAAACCCACACAATAGACACCATAATCTTGATATATTACAGAGAGAGCTTCTACTCGAGCTTGAAACCTATACAATACATACTGGAGTCTTGATATATTAGAGAGAGAGAAAAAAAATGAGTATTTTTTGCCCATTGTTGTGCTTGCTTAAGTTACTTTCTCATATGAGAGAGAGACCCATTTTATTGAGCCACAAGGGGGCTACATATTTACTATAGTGGTGGTTACATGCACCACCAACATTTACAAGTTACATTCCGGCCCTTAACTCACTTGTAGTGGTGGGTTATATGAAGGGCACCTCATGCACCAATATGAGCATACAAAGTACAAAGTACGTCATCAAGCGTCTTTTTGCCCTTGCCCTTGCCCCTTGCGTGCAGGTACTCATGGGGTGCGTGTCGCACTTCGCATGCTCCGCATATGTATTATTTCTCTCACGTTTGTACTCAAAGATATTGCATGAGAATTTGTGCTCTTAAATATAGCTCAATAAATTCTCTCTTCTTCAATATGAGACTCAAACCCACATCTTTCTCTCTTTACAAAAACAATTTAGGAAATAACCATAAAACCATATTGTTGTTTTGAAATATACTAAAGCATCTTTCAAACAAAAAATACTAACAGAAGATGGGTTATGTTAAGTAGGCAGCCAACATAAAATTTTGTCAAAATTTTATATGAATAATGAATCTACGTTATTTGCTTATACTAGGGCATTTCCCGTAAGCGACACACTATACAATAACCTCATAAAGTGAAAAAGATATAAGGATTTATGGCATTTGATAAAACAGAATGGCAAACTAAGATTCATATAGTCGACTCTAAATAGTTAGAAAAAGTTGGTTGATGATGATAACATCTTGCATATATGCGAATATTTAATTTTAGGGTGAAATGGATGATTTAGATAATTGATTACAATATACACTATTTTTGAGGCTTTGTCTTAATTTTTTCACAACTGTTGTCATGGCCAAGATGATTGGTTTGAAGGTTTTGCGACACTAGAATTACATTTTTCGGTTAGTTTTAAGATGAGGGTTTATTCATTTTGATAAGGTTGCAGCCCAACAAACCATTATCCTTCTTAAAATATCCCGCATGAAAGGAGGGTGCGGTTTATATAAAGCGGAGGCTCTAAATAATCAAAGTAAAGCATAACTTCAAATAGTGTCGAAAAATATGGTTTCAATACTAGAAATTTTTGTGATAGCCTTAAAATATATTTTTATTTCTAATTATATAATTTAAAGCTTAAAAAATAGTGTAAATCAAGCATATTTATAAAAACTTGAAAATTTTGAAAATTGATGGCCAAAAAACACATTACAAATGTACTATTTCAAAAACCACTAACAATTTCAAAACATGGATAGGGCTTGTCATCCCTACTGAATTACCCAAAAAAAAATCTAATTTTTTTAATGCGCATGCATCTTGATGTGAGATTATAAATTTGAAAATATTTGGGCATCAAAACTAACTTTTTATTGTGAAATTGTTGAGAAGCGCTGTAATTTGATTGTTTAAAACCGCGGGGTGAAAGCCAAAAGAAAAAATAAATTGCATGTCGTCCATTAAAGTGAAGGGAAAGCCTAAAAAACGTCGCCTATTAAAGCGCAAAGCATTTTTGTTGTTTTGATTCATTCTACTTCGACGAGGAGTACCAGGGATTGACTTCCTGTTCTGGAGAGAGAGAGAGAGAGATGGGCGCCCTCAGCAATCCGTCTGTCCTGCTACTGTGGTGCTTCCTCGCACTTGCTTCCCTCGCCCTCATCCAGGTTATCGCACATTTATCTCTCTCAAATACTTCTTCTGGATCTATCTACATTGATTCATATGTATCTCAATCTTGAGTAGAGAAATGGTGAATAGAATGATAGATCCTGATGAATTTGTTGATGTATTTTTTCTGTCATCAGTCTAGGCTTTACACTTCCTTCTTCCGTTTATTGATTTCTTGATTCATTTTTTAGTTACTTATTCTTCTACATGTGCATCTCCATCATGGTAGCCTCATCTAACACTTCAATTTCAATCCTGCATTCTTAGAAGGGTGTGGTTTTTATAACGCCGAGGCCCTGAACAATCAAAAGGCACACCTTTAAATAGTGTCGAAAGATGTTGTTTCAATACTGGAAATCTCTGTGATGGCCTGAAAATTTATTTCCATCTTTAATTATAAAATTTAAAAATTTAAAACTAGTGTAGATCGAGCAGATCAATGAACACTTGAAAATCTTGAAAATTGATGGTCCCAAAATTCATTACAAGATTCCAAGACTTGAAATCCATTTTTTCTCATGCTCATGCATCTTGAAATCGAGATGATCAATTTGAGAATTTTTCGGCATCAAAGCTCTTCTAGTGAAAATTTTCGAGGTACGCCTTAATTTGATTGTTTTGGGCGTCGCACTTATATAAACTTTTTCCTTCTCAGAAACAAGTGCTAAAGGGGATGAAAGAGATCTAATTATATTCCAATGCACACACGCCCTCTCTCTCTCTCTCCAGTTTTCCTTTGTATGTACGAAGAGAGAAAATCACCTCTGCCTTTCTTTTGGTGATGGTTCCAGCACCGCATAGGTTTCGTCACAGAGTCATCTTCTCACACTATTCCAAACACGGATCAGGTGAGCATGCTTGCCTGGTCTTCTTGACTTTTCCATTCCTCTCTCCCTCTCACTGTCTCATAATCTTCATCCTTGCGCTTTCACTTTTATCCGAATGTCATGAATGCTTTTTCCTCTTTAATTTCACAAGTCATATGTCGACCTAGAAGTGCACCGGATAGGAGGGATGAAGCGAATTTGACAACACTAGTTAGGAGAAGGCTTAGATGCTGATGATGATGATACTTCATCCTGAGCAATTATCGATACCCAATCCCTCTAGCACCTTATATAGATCCTAAATTTAAGGAAGCTCATATTTCTCAGGTTCCTAATTATGATCCAACTACTTTGAGTGATAATGGTTTCCCTTCTCATCTCTTCCTTTTGGCTTCCCCTATGAGGATAAACTCTTCGTTCTCGATTATGGTTCCACTAATTAAGATATTATTGTCCTTCTCTTCTCTTATCATCTTTCCTATGAAGCCCTTTTCCATGGACACCTTACAATGCACATCAGTTCATCAGTTACTGACCTGGTTTCATCCCCAATCTGGGTAAATATCCTAAAGCCTGTGTTGTTTTTTATTTTTCTTTTTTTGATAGTATTATTTTTGGTACTAACAACTTCTTCCTTTTTATTAAATTTTACTTGAAAATTGTTTGCTTTTTGTTTTTGTTTCTTGCAATAACTAGTTTGTTTGGGCCCAAAGGTGATTTTGGAGTCTCTTTGTCATCCCCATCCCTTAGAACATGTCCTCTTCAATTTCAACAACTTAGGATTGAGATTCTCCAAGATCTTGTGTTATGTTCATTTGTTATGGGAATTCTTGAACAAATTATCATACTCTCACTCCACTCTCTCCGCATGGTGTCTTTGGCTTTGAATTCAGACTTCATTTGATGCTCCTTGTTTTGATTTGCTTATAAATGTATTCATTCATTAAATTTCTAATCGGTATATATTTTTGCTCATACCTCAAGTGGTGACACTCAAGATGTCAATGTTTAAAACCAGATTAACAGAAATTTGATTTTTTTTAACATTGCTCATCAATTTGATTATTTCTCTTTTTGAAATTCAATCCATTCTAATTTTCATATTCGTTTTTTATGTCAAGTGTCCTATTTTTTATTTTTATCTATCTGGTTCTTAGTGTTAAAGAACTCCCTAAGCATGTGTATGCTTTGCTTATAAAAGAAGGAAAAGTAATATGGGTAGTTGTAAGAGTGTCATTGAAATGTCTAATGAGATAAGAGTGATTGTGACCTCCTTGTAACAAAGATAACTGGTCTCATTGTATACAATCCCATAAAGGGAATGTCTATGACTTGCATATTTATATGCCCACACAAACAAGCATACCTATGCACATGCATGTGCGTCATTGTTTGGGTGTTCACCTATAAGTGTATATACATCATTGCTCGCTTGTAAACTAATGCAAGTAAGCTCCATTTAGGAATAGTGGGTATCTAGTGACAACCAAGGTGTTAACTTTATTATATTACAAAATCTTAAAATCCTGCTCATGATGTCAATAATATTTGGTGGATTTATACCTAGCCATTAGGCTATCTAGTGCATAGTTTATGTTATCTTGAATCATTTGGATGATGACCTTGTCCATATAGGTATATATAAATATTAGTTATTGAGCCATGTATATTTTCTCTATCTCATGATTTCTCCACCGGTGATGGTTTTAGGGCAAAGCACCTAAAAAAGAGTTGCAAGAAATAACTTACAAGGTTTACTTCGATGTGGAGATCAATGGCAAGCCTGCTGGTATGTTTGCGCTTCAAATCCTATAATTTTATTCTTTTTTGTATTATTTAATAGTATAAAACTTATTTGTTGTTTGCTCCATCTGCGATATATGTCTGTAGAATATGTTTTGTTGCTTCTTCCGATTTTTCTTGAATTTTGATATTTTGAAGTTGTTTGTAGTTTTTGTCAGTGTATTGAAGGATGGGACGTGCCACCTAAGGCAGCCAGGGGGTTTCCACCTAGACAACTGCCTTTTCATGAGGCAGCCCAATTTGTCAAAAGGGTAGGGGTGGGTGTTGAGAGAGGGGGTTGAGTTTTTGTGGAAGAAACCCCAAAACTTATTTATTTATTTGTTTTTAAATGCAATGTTTTCCCAAGCTCAAAAGCCTAAGTAATGGCTTGAAAGAAGATATGGGTTTGGGAAACCAATAAAACAACTAAATCAGATCGATGATGGGATGAGGAAAATTTTGTTGCTAGGTGGGTCAAAAACTTCTCTTTTATCCCTTCTTGGTGATGCAAATGATCCCGATCCGATCCTCTCAAAGTTACAAATGAATTCCCAATTTGATCCCCTTCAAATTGTACTTTTGGATGTATTTAATGCACAAAAACCGGGGTTTTTGAGTGTTAAGTGGGTTAGGAATGCATCCCCCACAACCCAAAAAATAATAATAATAAAAGTAACGGAAAACAATACCACCCTTAAATAGGGGGAAAAAATTCCCACCCTTAAAATTCCCTTATGCAAGGGAACTTTCCTTCGTGGTTTTCGGAGTAGGGCACTTGGGCTTCAGTGCATGGTGCCTGCCATTGGCGGGGCTGCCTCGCCCCAGGTGGGGCAACTAGGCCTCGGGCAAGTGCCTTAGTTGGTCAGGCGTCCACTTTTTAAAACCACTGGCATGTAATTTTATGATTTCATGCGATGTTGTTTTCTTCTTTCTTGTGTGGGTTTCAAGTTGCAATTGTTTCTCTGTATGTATCCTATAACTACTATGAATGGAAGACAGGTTGGCTAACCGCTGTTTTTGTACTGCAAATTTCCTTGACTATTTTGGGAAGTGGGATAGTTTAGAAATAATGATCCAACTTGTGGAATGAGTGTTGACATATTGGTTCATTTGTGAGGGGACAGCATATTAATATTGCCACTATTTTGAAAAAACCAACATTTATCCGAGGCACACATAATTAAATAATCTCTTGCATGTTCATGATGTTATCGCCTTTGTTTCCTCATTCTTTCCTGGCATCTTCAGGGCAAAAAAACTTTTGCATAAGTAACTTGTAATGAGAAATATAGATTTGTGAATGATGCAAGAGAAATGCTTTGGGCTGCCTTTGGAAAGTGGTTGTCATCCATTGTTTCTACCATCTAGTTAAGAATGTGTTGGTGGTCAGGTGGTCAACACACCACTGTTTGCCATTGACTTTGAAAACATAACTCCCAGTTCGTCTTACGACAGGAAAGAATAGATCCTACAAGGCCTTTTCATTCCTCATTGTATTATTTACAATAACGCGCTGCTCCAGTCCTGTAAGATGGAAGCTATTGTCCCTGCTGGTAAGTGAAGCCTATGTTACAAGGAACATTATCCGCCAGAAAAGTACAAGTTACCTGCTTATAAAATGTATTTAAAAAATGAGTTTTATAGTTTTTTTTTTTTGAAATATAGATTTAGTTATAAATGAGCATCTGGGGAAGGCACATTGATACCATTTCTGAGAAGGGAATCATTGAAAATGAAATAATTGTAGTGTTTAACTTTTTAGATGTTGTTATTTGTGTTTAAATTAGGAGGTTGTCGAGTTCTCTGCAAATATCAAGGATCTGTTATGCTTGGATCAAGTTTTGGAAGTCATTTTTTTTAGGTGATGTTGGATGTCGTTCATATACCAAGAAAGGCATTTTGTACGGTTGATGGTATAGTCTATTTGGAAATTAGGAATTTTCTGGCATTATCGTATTTCTGACACCTTTGGATTTGTTATAAAGAGCGTCTGGGGTAGGCACATTGACGCCATTTCTGAGAAGGGAATCATTGCAAATGAAATATTGTAGTGTTTGACCTTTTATGTGTTGTTATTGGTATTTACATTAGGAAATTCTGGAGTTCTCTGCAAATATCAAGGATCTGTTATGCTCGGAACAAGTTTTGGAAGTTTTTTTTTTTGGGTGATGTTGGATGTCATTCATATATCAAGAAAGGCATATTGTACGGTTGATAGTATAATCTATTTGAGAATTAGGAATTTTCTGGCATTATCGTATTTCTGACACCTTGAGACTGGATGTCCGTGTTTCTTCTATTCAGTATTCACATGAGAGTGTCTAGTGTGGTTGAAATTGCTGGTTCAATAGGGCTTTTGCTTACTTGTGTTCCATCCTCTGCATGGCTTGCAGCCTTTTAATTTCTTGATGAACATTATTTAGTTTGACATATTCATGCCGAATCATTATGCATTATAGCTTTTCGAAAGCACTTTTATGATATATTCATCATAAAAAGCCCTTGTATAGTGTTTCAAATGTTTGCCTTTTGCCCATTTCTGGAATGCTTTTCCATTACTGCGGAACACACATTTGCCCTTACTGAATTAGTGGACCTTCATGCAGGATACCCTGAACAAGTGACTCTTGTTTGTATACTCACTTGCACATTGCAAGTTACTCTTGTTTGTATACTCACTTGCACATTGCAAGTGACTCTTGTTTGTATACTCACTTGCACATTGCAAATTACAAAGTTATTTTCTGAAGGCCTGTTTTGATGATGATTAACTTCACCAAGGGCCCAAAAAATGTCCAAAGAAGAGGAGAAAGCAAGTGTGGAAGCTTTATTCTCCCATCTCTGCCCAAAACCACCCAGAAGGAGGTCGCCAAATGTGTTTTTCTGTGGTATGGGAGAGAGGAGGGAGGGAAGGAGCTTTTATTCTTCCTTCTCTGGCCAAAAAGCGTCCAAAAATAAGGTCACCATTATTCGGTCCAAAGTTAAGACGTGTTTTCCTGTGGTATGGGATTATTTATGATATGGGGTAAAAGTCTATCCAACTGCGTAGGCACTAAGATGTTTGTGAGGAGTATCCTTTCCATCTAAATACTCCCTAACACCTCGTTTGATGTGATCTGGTGGATGTCGATACATGCCATTGATGCCCCCTTCTGTTTTAATTAAGTCTACCCTTTGATTTTATTATTTCTGACGACACTATGCTTAACTTTAAGCCTTCCTATGATGCTTGTTCCATTGAGCATATCTTCCAGCATAAACCATATCATTCCTATTTTGCAGTCCTTGATGATGTGAATGCATGCAGGTCGAATTGAGATGGGACTCTTTGGGAAGACAGTGCCCAAGACAGCAGGTATGGTATTTAATAAATAACCGTTCTTCTATGTTCATGTTATTTACAAGACACCAGTACTATATGTCTCTTCTAGTACTCTGCTGCAATTCTTTAGTTTATCGGATTCAGGGTGAACTAATAACACTTAACAATGCTTTCTTGTACCCAGAAAATTTCCGAGCTCTTTGTACAGGTATGCCTCCTTGTACTCTCTTCTGTTTTTTCTTGTTTCTTTTTTTTTTGGTAAGTAACACTAAATAATTGGCATCAAGTTGCACCCAAACAAGCATAGTCTCTCTCTCTCTCTCTCTCTCTCTATATATATATATATATATCTCTTTAGGGTGTTTAATTATATTATTGCCTATTATATTATAAATTTTGGGCCATTAACTGGAATCGACAATATGAAATGCATCAATAGTGTAGACATCTGTTTTTTCATGAATTTGCTTGGCATTTGTTGTCTTTCCATGGATTTTATAGTTATTCGAATTATTAATTTATGTTTTCCTGCATTCATTGTTCTTTATGATGAGATTTTCACTTTTGACTTGATGGCATCCTGGGTGGTTTATTTGGGTTTGCAAGTATCCAGACAAGCTCTAAAACCTGCAGCCAAAGGGGGTCCAAAGCTTAAACAGCTCTTAACTTTGAAAGATTTTAACTATAGTTGAGCTGTAAGGCCAACTATTTTCAGTGAACTGGCTTCGCAATATGAATCCTATGCGTAGAAGAGAAGAAAATTTGAGTTGGAGGATATTTCAAGTAAATTCATTATTATTTCTTGTAGCATGTTGGTACAGTCTTGCATGCAGTTTCACAAACACAGCTTCTTGTTTGATTTCATCATCTTCTGTTTTTCAGCTTCACAAAAATGCTCAACTATGCCCTTCGTGTTTACACATGTTGACTCCTGTTCACTACATGCTTTGCCATGCCCTGATATGAACACATCTAGAATTCCTTTATCCAACATTCTTGAATGTGAATCATCCGAATAAATGCTTGATTATGCCTTTCATATTCAGATGTGTTAATTTGATGAAAACCTCTAGATTCTAGTCATTGAAGAAAATAACTTCTTGAATAATTATGTTTACGATGATGTACATAATATCGAGAGTTTAGTTGATATTAACTGTGAAATTCAGCATTCTCCATTTAATTGATATTGATTTTGAAATTCAGTGTTATCCTCACTGAGATAATTGAGCTTCTTTCATTTTTTTTTATGAGAGGTAGGATGCAGTGTTTCAAAAAGCACTAGGCAGCACCTAGGCGGTTGGGGGGGTCCAAGCCGCCCAGTGCCTAGGCGAACGCCCAGAACCTGGGCGGCCCAGTAGAAATTTATTTTTTGGGGTTTTCTCTCTCTAAAATAGCTTCTAATGGGTTTTAGGTATTAAATGAACCTAGAATCCATAATTTTGCCCCTTTAGTATTAAAAAAATGACTCAAAAATACCATCAAGGAGCCACATTTCCACCCATGGGTGGGGTGCAGGCCTTGAGCAGCCGCTCGGGTGGCCGCCTAGGTGGGTTCAAGAGGGCGCCCAGGCGCTGGGCGGTCCGCGTTTTGAAACACTGGTAGGATGAGATATTTCAATTGTTTCTATTCTACACCTGACTCTGTTTTCCAACTTCTGGGTAGTATTTCATGTCAATCATTTATGCCCTCATTATGCAGGTGAGAAAGGTATTGGGAAGAGTGGAAAACCTCTTCACTATAAAGGAAGCTCATTCCATAGAATTATACCAAGCTTTATGCTTCAAGGGGGTGATTTTACTCTTGGAGATGGAAGAGGCGGGGAATCAATATATGGAAATTCATTTGCTGATGAAAACTTCAAGCTTAAACACACTGGGCCGGGTAAGTTTATTAATACTGATATTGACTAAACAGATTATGAAATCATTATTAGATTGTGATGCTGCTGTTTACATGTGATGATATTCATGGGCAAAATGTTTTAGTGGTTGTTTTTTTCCTGCTCAAGTGAACATGTACTTTCACTATGATCTCCTTCTATTATCATCATCTATTTGCTGCGATAACCTTTTTGTGTATAACATAACAAGGTTTGGTAACATGATTTAGTAAAAAGATTCTCAAAAAAGTTGGTATTGTTTGTTCAAGTTACAAGATCTGAACCAGCCGCATGTTGAGTGGTGTCCACATTCCTTGAGGGAGAGCAAGATTTCATCCAAAAAGCTGAAGGTAACCCTTTCCCTGCTGGTATCTTGGGCATTATCAAGACTGCAAAGCGTATGATTCCAAATGCTATGAGGAGCCACATGGGTCCGGTGGATAGTGATTTTTCAAATGTTAGCCGGTTGAGGATGGAATCCCCCACAATGTGATAGTTAGATAGAAATATGGCAGAATGGAAGATATTCGGTAGCTATTTTGTATTTAATTGTCCTGTAGACTTTGGCCTAGTAGTAGGCATATTGGTATGGGTGAGGGAGGTAAAGGGTTCGAACCCCTGAATTTTGTTCCAATTTCCAAGAAGCCCAAACAATCTAACCTAGCATTTTATCTTTTTCTTTTTTTCTTCTTTCTTGTATTCTTATTTTTTCTAGTGTTGCTAGAAAGACAAATTTGGTGGCTGATTGGTTGGCTTAATGCAGGTTATCTCAAAAGAATTTCAGCTTTGGGATTTTTTAATGTCGCAGGAGCCTCAACAGTTTTGTTTTTCTCATTGAACCTTTACATCATACTGTTAACATGAATTTTATCCTCTAAAAAGGGTATTAACCAAAGTACAATACAAATGGATTAAACATGCCATGCACCGATCATATGCATTCTGACAGAGTGACAGTCTTTTAACATAATATGGAGCGGTAACTAATGCATCTTCAAACCAGAGAGATGGGTAGAGGGTATGGATAGGAACAAATTATATCAAGTTTCTGATGTATTTATATTGAACAAGGAGAATATGGTTTCTGGAAGGACTGTAGTTCTTAATATGCAAGTGGTCTTGCCAATGGTTATCCTGCTTGTTTTATAGTGATTTATTTTGTACTGTATGTACCAGTGTTTTGGCCCACTAGTTGTGCATCTAATTTGGTTGTTATTGATTTTATTCTTGTTAGGAGTGTGTTAATACAATGCTAAATGAATTCATGGTTGGTGAAGAAATCAGAGGTTTTCTCAGATGGACTACCTGAAAGGCTTATACCTTGGATGCTGAGAAGCTGCTGACTTAAAATGCTCATTTTGCCAGTTCTTGGCGCTCAAGTTCATTTGTTTTCGTGGGAGAACACAAATGCCCACCTTAGATGGCTGTCATAATTCTTGGATAAATGTTAACTGGCAAGAAATAATGAAGTGATGATCACTTGTAACAAGGAAACTAGACCTGAGGGTTAGCTAACTGATCACGAATATTACATTGTGTCATCTTGCTAAGAAGTACTATCAACACGCATGAGATTGTCTCAACTTTTTAGCCTCCAGGCATCAGCCTCTTCCACTGCTTTCTATCTGTTCCGTTCACTTCACAAATGTGCTGCTAAAGTTGTCCCTCATGTGACACAGGATTGCCGAGTTTTGTGCTACTCTCTCTGCCTTTATGCTGTTAACTACATTAATTCATCAAAAACATGTTTAGAGTAGAACCCACAGGGTGTAATGCTTATCACTGCTGGCTAAATTTGTCCATCTGCTGGTAACTGATTATCTACTTGTTCCTACATCTGTTTGCTCATACATGGTTCAGTGATATCTTTCTTCCTTTTCTAGAAAAACAATCCTGTAGGGATGTGTGATTTGAGGAAAATTTACTTGAGACTAAAGAGCTTTCTTTCTCTTATATGGCAAATATAACTGACAAACTTTGTGCAGTATTTGTTCCTTTTTGCAGCAAGATATTCATGATTGGTACTTGTAGATTGCGTGTCTGCATGTATGCTATGCTGATAACTCTACAAGGAACACTTTTTAACTGGTTTTAGAAAGTCTAGTAGTTAACATGAGAAATATGTGCAGGTCACTTGTCTATGGCAAATTCTGGACCTGATACCAATGGATCCCAATTCTTCATCACAACTGTAACAACTAGTTGGTATTATTCCTCTACCTTATTTATCTTCTGAATTCCCATAGCGAGTGTCATGATAGACTAATGGTAATGATCTTTTCCAGGTTGGATGGCAAACATGTTGTGTTTGGGAAGGTCATCTCAGGAATGGACGTAGTCTACAAGATTGAAGCAGAAGGAAGGCAAAGTGGGACCCCTAAAAGTAAAGTGGTCATCGCAGACAGTGGCGAGCTGCCCCTGTGATTCTCCTCAGCTGAATGCCCATAAAATATAAAATTATATACTAGTTAACTGCTCAGGTTTTAATCTGTAGCTTTGCTTCAGTAGAATCAGTACTAATTGTGATAAAATGAGTACTAATGATGGTGCTTGTGCTAATTATGATTTCATAGTCTGGATCCCTGGACCGAGATAGAGCCTATTGCATTTCGATTGTAATATGCCCTCATTAGTCATGTTTTGAAATAAGTCTTTGGGGCATCTAAAGTCTCGAAGTTTTGCAGTTATTTTTAACATTTTTTCTTTTCCTGCTTTGCCTTCTGGGATCATGATGAATGAAATCATTCATTTGATGAAATTTCTATGGGTCTAAAACAGAATCTCCCCATGCATTGAAAATGTTTCCCAAAATGTATACCTGTGGGAGTATGTTGTCTTTACTAACAAATTTCTGAAGATGCGTGTCCTTATTTGAATGTGCTATCCTTGAACAATCAATCGGTCACATCCCTTCATTTTATGTATGAAAAAGGTTTTATCTTTCTCTATTCCTTACAATGTGGGAATTGTCGTAATACATTCTCAATTAGTAAGTTTGCTTTGCAAATTAATTTAGGATTACAGTTAAATTCACATTGGATTTTCTTGGAAGTTTTATATTGAAAGAGTAAGAGATGATAATTTCTCTATTTTGCTAATTTTCTATTGTTCTTTTTCTTAAATTTTACTATTGGGCCCCATGCCTGCTTGAAAAACTATAATTATACGTTGGAAAACCATATACTTACATTTCGGTAGTGGAGCTGTAGATGCCTAATAAAACAAGAATGAAGTTAAGTTGTCAAATTATTTGGATTATTTTAGTTTAGCCAAAATAATTATACTATGCATATAATTTGTTTTTTGACTGCAATTTTCATTATGAAACCTGAATTCTATGCGGCCATTCTTGCCTATGTAGAAATGCGGGCCTATTAATAAATCTATTTTTGAGATGTTTGCACTTTATTTTTAAAGACTTGTAATCTCTAACATGGAGATTTTTAAGGACTTGTAATCTCTAATCTCTAGCATGGAGATCATGAATATGAAAGAATAAATAAATTTTTAAAAACTAAAAATAATAATTTTAATAAGAAAATATTTGAACCGTTAGTTTTTACCGTTTTTAGATGGAACACCTACTTGCATCCATATTTAAAATGGATGTTTTACACTTTTTGAACGGTCGATGTGGTCATGCGGTCCAGCTCTCATGTAACAATTTTCCATATTTAATACGTATAAGTCTATATGAGCGTCTATTTTAGTTCCCCGCATAAATATGCTATGCATCTACTCCCCTCACTCTAAAACCTACTTGGGAGAACTTTTCCAGTATCAAATTGAGGGAATCTAGCTGTATTCCCTTTCACATAAAAAAAGTGGCTTAAAACCTACTTGGGAGAACTTTTCCAGTATCAAATTGAGGGAATCTAGCTGTATTCCCTTTCACATAAAAAAAATGGCTTTGTAGACAAATTTTTGACAGTTTTGGTACCTCCCAAGTAGATCAATTTGAAAATCTATTTTTTATCCAAAACAAGTTTTGGTTCACCAAATTTCGAATTTTACAAGTTTTTTCATAGAAATCTCGTGAATTTTCATCCTTAGAAACTCGATACACCCTTATTCGAATTCTCTCTCAGGTCATAGAAGAAGGACAACTTGAAATTTGTTTCAAATTGGTCGTCTTTGATCCCCTAACAAGAGTCCGATAGTGATTTTGTTGCATAGGAATGTTTCAACTGGTGTGTTTGAACTTGAATTTTTCTGTCATTTTCTTTCCAATATGGTTTCTTATTTTAATTTTTGATTTTTATTTACAGCTCCTATTAGATAAACTGAAAACTTTTGTTTCGATTTTATCGTTTTATGTAGGTTCTTTTTTCTTTTATTTTTTAGAATTTTTTTCTCTTTTTTTGTAAATATATTTTCTTTCTTTAAAATATTAGTTGAGTCGGCTCTGCCAACCTCGCCAATTTAGCAATTCAATTAGGTCCGGTTTAATCTCGAAACGAAGTGGTACATTATTAGTGGGGCATCCCACAGATATGTGAAAGATCGTTGGATTAACGATTCAGATTAGTTTGCATTGGTCCAAATCCATAATAAAAAGAAAATATAAAAAAAAAAATACAATAAGATAAAAATTTAAATAGGGGCTTATGGGGTTTTGGGGGATGCTTGGGGGTATGGAAAATTATATATGTTTAAAAAATTATTATTTTACCTGTTTGAAATGAGAATCCGAATGAGGAATAATAGAATTTTTTTAACGCTGGCTTGTACCGACAAAAGTGCGATGCCATGCCAATTCCCATCCCCTACTCCCCACCAATACCTAATAATTGTGCTTCTATTAAAGATTGAGCATCCCACCACTTCATGATAATCTCAATCATCATACACAGATGCATGCAAAAAAAAAAAAGGGTAGAATTCTTCCCCTCTAACTTGATTAAATAAGAGTCGTATCGAATAGAGATTCAAGGAAACCCGCTTTCAAGAACGATTACTGTTGAGTTGCCAAGGCGATTGGAGACTGCCTCTCTCTCTCTCTCTCTCTCTCTTATATTTACGTGTTTTGTCTCTCTAAGCAGGCAGGGCAGCGCAGCGCAAACAGAGGATGAAGAAGAAGAGCAGCAACGGCAACTCCTGTGGAGAAGGTTAAGCAGCAGCAGTAGTAAGGGAGGGAGAAGGTTCAGCAGCAGCAGCAGCAGTAATGGAGGAGGACGAGAGCACAGCCCTCAATTGGTTGGTCGAAGCCTTCCCCTTTCTTTCCATCGACGCCATTTTGTCTGCATATTGTGATGCCAATGGCGATGCTGCAATGGCCGCCCAAACCCTGCAAGGCCACCCTGCCACTGAGGTCCCCGCTCCCAATTCGTTGTCCGCCAATGGCTGCGACTCTCTCAACCATTCTTCCAAAAAGAAGAAGAATCAGAAGAAGAAGGAGGCTGCCTCCACAAGTAGCGGCACAGTTTCCAGTGTTTTGGGAAAGGGGTACATAGTACCCTCTGTTCAAAGAGTTAATTCGAAGCCCTTGTCAATGGCGATTCGAGATGCAAATAGGGTGTTGTTTAAATGTAGTAATGGAGAAACAGTGGATGAAAGGTTGCCGACTGCTACTGTAACAACAAATTCTGCTATGGGTGGTCAGGAGCCTTCTTCTCATGAAGCCGCTGAAAATTTCTTATGCTCAATGCTTGGTGAAGGATGCGAATTAAACATGGTTGTCATCAAAGACGTTCTCTGTGAGTCTCTCTATCTCTCTCTTATTTATTCCTTTTTCATTTCTGTGCAGTCCCTTATGATCGTCACAATCGTGTTTATAATTTCCACAGTGGATTACTTGCTTATTCATGGTTTCTCTAAAATTTCCACCTGAAATATTGCCCTGACCTGCAATTATTATGCATCGAAAGTCTTAATCATCTGCTCTTTTGTGTTTGGGTGGTCCCCTTCTAACAAATTATCTGCAGTTTTTATTATTTCTAGTAATGCAACAGTTTTGGTTAATAATATGGAAAGTTTTCAATACCTTTTTTTTTATGGAAACTAGTCAACTTGTTAAATTGAACAAAAAATAATAAAACCACATGATGTGGTAAAACAGCGACCCACAAGATGGGTGCTCGGAGTATGGTGGGAGAAGAAGAGAATAAAAAGAAGCCCAAAAAGAAAGAAAAGAAAGATAAATAGAAATACAGTAAAAAAAAATAGGTACTAGAGGGACCAGAGATGGAGAGAAGGAAAATAAGAGGAAGACAGAAAATGAAGGGGTAAAGGAGAATTGTCCTATAGAATGAGAGATTTGAGAATAGCCGAAATAAGGTTAGGTTTGCAGAATAACTAAAGGGCGGACCCAGTGAAGACAAGTGGAGACGACTGGGTCCTCTTCTGATCTTTGAGAGCTCGAAAACATCCCATAATCAAATCTGCAGGAGAACGAACTGCCGGGCCCAAAGAAGACAAGAGGAGACAGCTGGAACCTCTTCTGATCTTTGCGAGCAGGAACACATCCCTTAGAGGCAAGCTGCAGAAGAATAAAATAAAGAGAAGAATGGGGGAAGGGATTGGCCGGAGCGAGAGGAGGGGAGAGAAAAAAAGGCTAGAAAGAAGACTTAAAAAGCGAAAAAAGAGAACACAAAGGGCGAGAATAGAGCAAAAAGGCCTGAAAAAGGTAGAGGAGGTGAAAGGGAGGGGAGGGATATGGGGAGCCTAGTCTGTCGTACCTGAAAAATGTAATTTTTTTTTTTTTTTTTTTTTTGGGGGGGTACGTGGAAAAGAGTGGGGGGACATGGAGAAGAGGGAAGAACTAAGGAAAAAGAGGATGAGGGAGGAGACTTGGGATTATGAGAATTTTTTAGAAGACTTGGAGTGAAAATAAAAGAGTAGGGAAAATGCTGCGAGCTCCTTCCTTAGCAAGGCCATCAGCTACTAAGTTGGCACCTCGACGGATACGTGTGAAAGTCACTAGTGGTAGATCTCTGTACATAAGAGTGATATGGTCAAAGGTGGACCACAACCGCCATGGGGGCTGTGTGAGGTTAGAAGCTCATTGGATGACATTACTGGAATCACACTCCACCTGTGTACCCGAGAATTGTGTGCAAATTTGGAAAATCTTCTTAAGTCCTTCAAGCTAAGCCAAAGCCTCAGCAGTGGTGGAATCTAAAATTTCAAGAGGCCCAGAGAAGGAGAGAAAACTATGATTGCCAAATGAAGCACTATTTGTGTTGAGTTTGAGAACTCCTAGAGGGGAGGACGCCATAGGGTTCTAACATTGGGGGAAGGGGAGGCTAGTGATAGCAAGCTTTGCCAACTACCTCGGAATTGTGAGAGGGAAAGGTGAGAAAAAAGGGGAATGCTGCTTGCCCAAAAGAAGTTAAAAAAATGATATAATTTGAGGTAGAGGGAAGGGATCTAGCAACGCCGCGAAAGGTTCTCGCATTTTTCTATAACCAGATAGTTCACAAACAGGTCGCAACAACAATGCACCATAGTTTTCTACCATTAGAGGGAAAAGGAGGAGAGGAGAAGCGAGGGCCAAGAAAAGGTCAAGTAAAGCTAGAGGGGTGACCCATTGGAGGCCAAAAAGTTGAAGAAGGGTGGAGCAAAGAGTAAAGGAGAAGAACAATGAATAAAAAGTTGAGGGATGGACTCTTCTTCCTGAAGACAAAAAACAATTGTTAGGAAGGGATATACCTCATCTTTGGAGTTGGTCCAAAGTTAAGACTCTGCCCTGAAGATGGATCCAAAGGAAAGCTTGGACCTTATGAGGGACAGGGAAGGACCATAGTTTATTAAGTAGGGGGGAAGGATTCAGATTAGGAAGGAGAGAGGCGTAAAAGAGGAAACTTAAAAGATGCGCAAGGGATTGGGGGACCATATTGGAGAGTCTTTCCTAAAAAGAAGAGTGACGATAGGGGCCAATAGCTGGAGAAGAGAATTAAGAGTATCCATTTCAGAGTCATAAAGGTTCCTTCTAAAGTTGCGGTCCAAAGCAGTGAAGAACCTCTATGTTCCACATAATGAGCTATGAGGGCCTCTTGGTCGGAAACTAAGAGATAAAGAGATGGGAAAAGAAAGTCCAGGATTTGATCCCCAATCCAAAGGTCTTTCCATAATCTGATCCTTTGGCCATTACCTATCTTGAATCCTGTGGAAGCTTTAAAGACAGGTTTGGTTGAGGAAATAGACTTCCAGGCCCCTGAAGCACTAAACATAGGGGATCAGGGTATTTACCCATTATCCTCAAGACCATACTTAGTGTGAATAATCTTCTTCGAAATGAGGAGGGGAAGGGAAGTGAATCTCCACCACCATTTACCTAAAGGGTCGAGTTCATGGTCCTGATCCTCTTCATTCCAAGACTGTCAAACTGCTTAGGGTTGCAAGTCTTGGCATAGGAGACAAGATGAAATTTATGGTCTTCTGAGGCACCACTCCCAAGGAAATTCCTCATGAGTTTCCGTGGCGATGCGCTACAGAGGAGGGAATTTGGAAAAAGGACATTTGGTAGATAGGAATATTAGCCATGGTAGCTTTGATGAGGTTGATTCTACCTTGAAGGGAGAGAAATCTAGGGAAATTTCCAAGTATATTTTTTTATGATATTATCCCAAAGGTGTTTTTTCTAGGTTTCCTTAGACAAAGAGGGAGACCCAAATAGGTAGATGGAAAAGAATCAATAGCATAATCGAGATGTTGGGCAAGGCAGACTGTCTCAGTGTCACTAACCCAAACTCCCAACATCTTGGTTTTAGACATATTAACCTTCATCCCAGTGGTAACCTCAAAGAATCTAAGGAAAAGCCTCAGATTATCCAACTATGCAGGATCAGCTCCACAGAAAATCAGGGTATCGTTTGCATAAGGGAGGTGGGAGACAACAGGACCATTAGAGGAAGTTTGGAAACCCCTGAGAATACCCAGGTCATAGAGCCTGGTGAGAGATTTAGAAAAGAGCTCACCAATAATATTGAACAAAAACGGCGAGAGAGGGTCTCCTTGTCTCAAGCCTTTAGAGGTTGAAAAGAAACCTTTTGGGGAACCATTAATGAGAACAGGAAAAGGAGGACTGGAAATACAGGCCTTGATCCAGTATCTCCTCCTGATACCAAACCCTATACTCATTTGGATCTCATCAAGAAGACCCCATTCGATTATGTCATAGGATAACCAGGCCCATAACCCCAGAGTTGAACATAAAAAGGTTGGCTCCATAGGCATAAAAAGCCCCATCGAGAATTTGCCTATCAGCAACGAAAGTGGATTGGGCTAGGGAAATCACAGAGTGTAACACAGATTTTGTAGGATAAGTTAAGAAGTCTAATACGATGGAAGTCTCTCAACTTTCGGCTCCTTCAATCTTGGAGATGAGAGAAATGAAAGTACAGTTGAGTGCCGAGTTTACGTGACTTCCATGGAAGAATTCTTCCAAAAAGGCCAAGAGCTCAGGTGCCAGGGTATCCCAAAAATCTTGGAAGATGGCGACGGGGAAGCCATCAGATCCAGTGTCTTTGTCCCCCCCAAGGTCTAGGACAGCCTTATGAATTTCTTCCTCATAGAACGGTCTTTCCAGCCAAGCGACATCTTCCAAAGATAAGGAAGAGAAGGAGAAGTCGCTCAGCGAAGGCTTTGGCCTTGTGGGCAAAGAGAGAAGATTTTTGAAATATCTAACAATGGTCCTATTAACCTGCTCAGGCTGTGAGAAGGTGTGGTTACCAACAGAGAGTTGAGTAATATCGTTGCCCCGTCTTCTAGCACTGGCAGTTTTATGAAAGAAAGTTGTGTTTTGGTCTCCTACCTTAAGCCACTTAATCCTGGATCTTTGATACCAAAATGTCTCCTCCTATTTGAGGAGTTGAAAAATAATTTGTTTGGCAGATGCGCACACCTAATATGTTTTTGATAAAGTAACGCCTAATTTTTTTTTTCAAGTTTTTATTGGAAGCAAAAGCAGTGTTTAGCAACACGTTCGAGGCCGAGTGGACTCGGCTCCTTGCTGAGTTGAGTACATGGGCGAAACTGGGGGTACATGAAAATAAAAAATCATAAAAATTATGTGGAATTGTAAAATCAATTTACAGACATTTCTTATGCAATATGAATGTTTTTCATGATGATTTGTGAATATTTCTTGTCACAAGCTCTTGTTTTATATTTTCCTCTTTTGGGGATTTTTCTGAAATATCTCTAGCTATGTATCAATTTTTTCTAAATCCATGTTTTTTAGTGTACTTTGATTTTTGCTATATATTTTTACTACTTTGATCTCTAGTGATATATTTTTCCATGGTTCTTGGACTTTTTAGTTGCTTTTAGTCGACTTTGATTTTTACTATTTTATTTTATTTTTAATATTTTTTAATTTTAATTGTTTGTTTATTATTATTATGTTTTGGTGCCCAATACGCAACTCAAGCGAGTCCACTCAAACTTGTCCGCTTTACGTGGCTCAGGCAGGGCCCAAGTTCCAAACTTGAACTGAGTTCCTGAACATTGATTGGAAGTGATTCCATAAAGTTTTTTTTTTCTCAATGAGTTACAGAACTTTTAATAAAATAAAAAGAGGTACAGGTGAGATTTCCATGATGTTTGTTAAGCAGTGAAAGTAAGATCACCTCCTATTTGATGAAATCATCTTTGCTTGCCTTGTAAATCTGCAATCATATTTAGTAGCGATTGGCAATTCTACTGTGGTGGTTGAGGTGGGGAACACTTGGGTATGCAGCGTAGGAGGCTAAATTTGGATCTCCTATATTTGAAAAATATAATGGTAGTCTCTCTTTTTCTAAGCAGTTCTCATGATAAAAAGAAATTTATTAGTAGCTGCAGCAAACCAATTATATCGATGTCACATCAGAGGTTTATTGATCTCCTTTTTAAATTGCAAATCAACTTCTATTATGTTGTAACTGGTGAATTTCTATGAATTTGCAGGTCATTGTGGGTATGATATTGAAAAGGTGTTGTTACTATCTTCTCCAGTGTTTGGTATTCCTTGTTTCCTTTCCAAATTGATGTTGTAATTTTATTTCCATGGCATTCTGCTTGTACCTGGTGTATGTTTAGTTGTTTTACATTAATGCTCCTTAATTGACTAAGAGAGAAGTTAGTGTGTGGTTAAAGCAGTAATACTTGGAGGGGACATCTGTTTGTTAGATTTTAGTTAACAGGGTTAGCTACAGAGAACAAAATGTTGGTGACCAAAAACAAAAAAAGAAAAGAAATGATGTCTTCCCTCCGCAGCTTATCCCTAAATGAGGAGTGCTCTTTTCTTTACCTCGATGACTTGTCACTGTCAAGCTTTATTTAGTTGTTTAAGCTAAGGGTTAGCTTGATTTGAGTTCTCCAAATACGTGATAAGTTGACAACATACAAGTCATGCATCTTGCACTTAGAATCTATAGGTTGGGAAAAATTGCAAATTTATTTTTCTTGTTGACTACACGTGTGCCCTCCATGAACTTTTGCTTTTGCTTATTTCTACTTGCTGAGATGATCTATAAGTATTTTATAGTGAGAGATATATCTTCAGTTCAACCTGGAATTTTGGTTGAGTAGCTCCATAACTATAAAAAAGAGTATAAGTGGTTGTCTAACTTCTTACAAATATGTACATATTGTTTATATTCAATTAATATGTGTTTGTGTGTTACACACACAGATAAATAACAACAACAACAATAATACACACAAACAACATCAACAACAACAACATCAGTGACAATAACAACAATGACAAAAACAACAACAATTATAGTAACAACAATAATATTAATAATGATGATGATGATGATGATTTCCATTTTTTCTATTTCGTAGTAGTAGTAGAATTTTTTTTTTTGTATGTATTGTAGTAGTAGTAAGTGTACAAATGCTCCCATGGGAGCACACTATATTGCCTCTTTTCTAAAAACCAAATAGGTTCATGCACCCAATGTCGGAACCCACCCCTTTTAGAAAGGGACAACTATAGTTACACCCAATGTTAGAACCCATCTGTTTTAGAATAGCGCACTACAATGTGCTCATGTGAAAGCAACTTTTACACTTACTCCCTCGAAAAAAAGAACTATGCAGAGAGACTAAGTGTAAAATTTTCGCTCGGAAAGTGACGGGTTCGAACATTGGATGTCGGGATCAGCCCACTGAAAAAAATTTGGGTTCTAACACCCATGTCCAAACTGTTTTTTCACTCAAAAAATAACTTTCCAGTTCGGACATTGGATATTCAAACCGGGGGTAATTTGTTCATGAAAAAGAAGAAAAAGTGAGAACGTATAATAGGAAATATATGGGAAACCTTTTCTAAACAGAAAATATAATTGGATTTTTCTGTAAATGTTCCTAATAGCATAAATATCAAGATTAAAAAAGATAGTAGCGGCCAGGCACTAAAAATGCCTAGGCGCGTGTTAGGCGTGTGCGCTTTAAGGGCGGACGCCTAGGCGGCACCTCTATGCAGCTTGGCTAAGGGCAGAAAAAGGTCCTCGGCCAAGGGTATTTTTGTATTCCCCCCCCCAAAAAGTAGGGAAAAGGTTTTTGGGGGGCATTATATCCTTTTTGTGAGTTTTAGATAGAGAAAAACTCTCCAAAATCTTAGCTTTTGAGATCTTTCTCAAGATTGAAGTATTTTTCAACATTTTTGATTTCCTGCAATATCGAAAGATATACTTCCCGACTTTTTTTTGAGCCTGTAGCGGTTGCAAAGGAGGACTTTTGGCAACCAAAGGTCACCATGTTTATATCAATTTGATTTTGAAAATGTTAGCGCATTACAATATTTGAATTAGAGTTTGGTACTTTCTGTGTAAAATGTGATATAATTATTTATTCTTTCCTTTTTGGTTTTTGTTTTTGTTTTGTGATATTTTTACCAGTTTGTATTTGGATTTTTCTCCCATGTTCACTAGTGGGTTTTCGTTTGGGTTATTTTGAACTTTCATTAGGTTGGTATATCCAATCATAGGAAATACACATTAATCTGAAGCAAAATTGATATTATTTGTTGCTAGTGTTGCCAAATTGATTTTTGTTTGTTTACTTTATGTTAGAGTTGCTGGGTCTAATGTTGATGAGCATGAAATGAGATGCAACTTTGTATGGATTAGTGGCTAGTTAACCTTATAAAGTTTGGGGATTGCAAATTCAAGTTCCAATGCAATTCATGTATAAATTTCAAATAGCACGATTGCACAGCACAAGAGCGCACAAAAGCCCTGAAAAATGATGTTCAAAGGGGTTTTGGGGTCCATGATCTGCCCATATGAACTCTCTAGGGCACCTGCTTAGGTTCCTTAAAGTATTTAACATTATTCAATGCTAATAATCATTATAGTAACAACAATAGCAACAAAAATAATAACACTAGTAGTAGTAGTACATCAGCAGTAGCAATAATAGTGATGATGATGATGAAGAGAAGCAAAATCAGGAGGAGGATGAGGGGAGGAGCAGAAGGAGAAGTAGAAGAAGAAGCAAAGGAAAAGGAGGAGGAGGAGAAGCAGAGAGCTGGCAAATGGGTCGGGATGATCCGCTGATTGGGTCCTGGCCCAAATTATAGACATGACGGGTCCCATCTGGGTTTCCTCGACCTGAGTCCAACCTTGGTTGGGTGCGGGTTAGTGTCAATCTAACCCAAAATATATTATGTATAATACATATTTAGCTATATATACTTATTTTATCTATTTTATAAAGGAATTTTATCATCATTATCGTCAAAGCATTTTCCCAACTAATTGGGGTCGACTATATGAATCGTGGTTGGCCATTATGCTCTATTAAGGATCATATCCTCAGTGAGGCCATAAGTTGCCATATCTTTTCTCGTAACTTCCAACCATATCCTTTTGGGCTAATTCCTTTCCTTTTTTGAGCTTTCCTTATAAATTTATTTTATTATCTTTTAGAATATTTTAGACTTGATCAGGCATAAGTCCAAGTCTGACCTTGATCCTATTGGGTCGGGTTGACCTGAACCCGACCTACTTGTTTACAAGTCTAGAGAAGAAGGAGAAGGGGAAGAAGAAGCTAAAGAAGAAGGAGATGATTAAAAAAAATGGAACTGCATGTACTACAAGGCACGTCAAGATAGATGAGAATATAAGCAATGACCTTTAAGAATCTATGAGCATAATGATTTACCTGATCAAGCCAAGAAAGCAAGAAAATACAGTTCGTTGCTGCATTCTTCTCAGTTCTCACGCTTCTAAAGTGACTCGGTTTAAATCCTTCACCAATATTTAGAATCTCATGATGGAGTTTGCACTATTGTGGCCATGCCTGCATACACCACCTAATCGTACGATTCATTTTTTATTATTTGCATTGCTAATATGTAATTAAAAGAAATTCACAATCGAAGTATGTGAGGGTGGTCTTGCTATAGTGATATGATTCGTGGCTCATCACCATCCAAAGTCCATACTAGGTCACATTTGTCTAATAGTGTTTAAATTTTAGTAATTTTTAAAAAAAAATCATACTGACCTGAAATTTAGAGTGTGCACACATCTAACCAACTCACACGTAAATAAAATATTAAAATAATAATTCTCCAAAAAATAAAATGACGAGAATACCTGAAATATTCATAGTGGTATTTTTGTCTTTTTTGTTATTTGGATTTTTTATATTTTATTTAGGTGCAGTAATATTCATTATTTGGATTTTTTTATATTTTATTTAGGTGCCACTCACTAAGACGCACACACACATACAAATTGCAGGTCAATTTGATTTGTAGAAAATTTATTAAAATTCAAACGCTATCAGAAAATCATGACCATCTGATGGACTTTGGATGGTAATGAGCCATGAGTGAAATACTGTAGAAATTCGTTTATGAGTGTTTTTAAGTGCATATATATATATATAGGGAATGGATGCTATTAGCCCAAGGGCTGACTGCTACAGTGTCAGCCAATGGCCTAGATTGAATCTGGGCCAATTTGACAATCACGACTTTGTTTCGTATTTGAATTTTAGTTTTTTCTACAAATCGAAATTACTTGAAAATTTAGGCGTACATTCTACTCATCAAGATGCACCTAATAAAAATATAAAACATTATTTCTCTAAATATAAATTAACCAAACCCTCGAAAGTTTTGGGGGTATTTTGGTCAATTTATATTTTTTGAATTAATTTTTTAATATTTTTATTAGATTCTACTGTTTATTAAGAATAGATGCTCAAAATTTTAAGTGATTTGGATTTGTATAAAAAAATAAAAATTCAAATACGAAATGAGCTTGTGACCATTGGATTGGGCCTAGATTCAATCTGGGCCGTTGGCTTACACTGTAGCTGCTAGCCCATGGGATAGGGATTGTCTACGAAGAGACCATTTACCTTTTGTACAAGGAGGTCACAATTATTATTGTCCCTTAGATTTTAAAATGGGTGGTTGTAAGAATGTCATTGATTAGACACAAAGTTCCAAAATGAAATTTTTGGATTTTGACATCTAATGAGTGGGAATAGTTGTGACCTCCTTGTACAAAAGATAAATAGTTTCTTGTAGACAATCCCATATATGTGTGTGTGTGTGTGTGTGTTATAAAAATTTTGTTGCTTCCTCTTGCGAGTACTTTTAGAATTTTTCATATCCCATCTTGTGTCCTGTTTTGTTGTACACTCGTGTATGCATTTAGGAAATATAGAGAGGACCCATTGAACTTGGCTAATGTGTTTATCTTATTGTCGCATTTCTATGGAGGTGATGAGTCTCAACTACCCATAATTATTGTGAGATATCCAGATTTTGTCAATGACATCAAAAGATCTTGCCAGCCATTTGGCCAATCGCTTGCTCATCTCGAATTTTGGGAACATCTAATTACTAACAATTAATATGAAGTGATTTCATGGGCAACACAAAGCATCACACCTGGGTAATTTACACCCTAAGGTGCATCTATATTACAATTGTGTTTTCCTGCAAGGGAGCCCTAAGCACCTTTTGTAGCCCCATACTCCCTGTTGAACATGCTCACAGTACCTTTTGCCACCTCTACGTCCCTTGTTACAATTGTTGGAAGACATGCTGAAGCCTACCTCTATTATTTCTCATGTTTCCACATGAAGATCCCCAACAAGAGCTTCTAGAACTTGTATAAACCCTAAAATGTCAACTACACTGCGTGCTTCTTGGTCAAAAGTGCTCTTCTTAAAGTATGGCTTAGACCACTACCTCTGTGTCAGCATAAGTTGGGTTTTTGCTTCTCCACTTTGAATGAGAAAAGTTTGACACTCTCTTTCTCTAGTTTTTTAATCATGTATGCACTAGCTGCTCTCCTTTCAATGAGAAAAGTATTTCAAATGACAATTTATGTAAAATCTTTTGAGTTGTACATGTCATTTATGACTCTTTCACCTGCTGTTTATTTTTTCTAACAGATGGACTATCTATGTGTTTGTTATTGCCTTTGAAGTAATTCTTGAAAGACAATAACTTAATAATTTGGTTATAGGTTTCGATAAAAAAAATTATTCTGCTTGCAGAGCACAAATATGTTGCTTGCTTTGTCATCTAGTTCTTTTGGAGTGTCTGATGATGGAACTTCCTCTCCTTATAAGATAAGTTCTGAAGGTTCTATGGAAACTGACTTATCCAGTGATTTCCAGGTATTTTTTAAACTTTATTCTATCTGTTCCTGAATAATAGCATTATCTAGGTTCGACATATGGAAGCCTTTTATTCATAAAATTTTAATGGTCATTTTTGTTTCCCAGTCTTTTTATTCTTGTAGCATTGTTTCACAAGAGCTCATAATGGGTAAAGCTTCTAAAGGTCACTACCTTTTTTCAGATGTAGCCACCTTATTTGATGGGTTGGTGCCCCTTGGTAATAGTGTTCCATGCCCATATTGGAATTTATGAAAATGGTTCTGTGCCAATTAGTGAGGAAAAAAAGACAAAATTCTCATCATTTTTTGCTGAACTTTCAAAGTATTTCATAGAGGCTTTTTTGGAATATGCTTCTGGCACCATTGGGCTCATGTTTCAAGTTTAGCAGAAATGTATGTAGGGATTTCTCATGATGGAACTATTCGTTCTCGATGTGCTCCTGATTTCGAAGATTTGATACTGAGGAATCTCATGCAGTACTTAATACTATTTTAGCAAATGAAACCTAGTCTGTGCTACAATTTATAGGGAAATTCTTCTTTAACCAGTAATCATTGGAAGGTTCTTTCTTTTCTTCGTCAGAATGGCTAATGCTTTTAAAATGAAATTCAGTTATAAAATACCTGTGTAATAAGAAATTAAATGTTGATTGATACGAGCACGAGACCAATCACAAATCAAAGCAGCTTTTTTTGCAAATAATAAACATAGTTTGAGATAACTTAATTTTTAGTTTTTGGAACCTTGTTCTTTGGTGGTCCTACTTCCAAACCTAATATCCCAGGTATGAAAAGTTCTGTTCTCTTGATAGCTTTCATTCGTTCCCTTGTTTTTTATAGTAACCAAGGGGAAAATGTATTTACCTCCTCCTGGGCTTCTCATACACCCCTTCTTTTTTATGTGAATGCCAATTTGGGCAGTTTGAAAGTATTTCTTTCAAGGCTTGTCACATTTACAGTTTATGATATAGTCTCATTTAAGTAGTTTTCCTGATTTGCGTTTAAAGAATTGCTCAGTATCTACTTGTGATTTATTTGATATTTTGTCATAGAAAAGGATAATTGTCCATGTGGGCAATTTTTTATTTTTTTATTAGGATTACTAAACAGGGCCTTTCATTAGTACAAAAGCATAAGCAAATCAGGAGAAATATTTCACTTCGCATTTCCTTTATGGTCAACAATTGTTTTTAGTAAATTGTTTCTGATTACTGGACTTTGTATTGCAGACTGTTGATCAAGCATTGGAATTAAAATTTCCTCAGCTGTGCAAATGGTTATATGAAATACCACAGTCTGCTGAATATAATAGTAGGTGGGTCTTTGGTCATAATTGTGGTCTCTTATGTAATCTTCCCATGTAAAGCCATCAATGTGAGTCATGTGGCTGAAATCATGATTTGTATAGAACATCGTTGTCTTGCCTAAGGTATGCCCTGGCAATGCATTATATGGTGGCTTATTATCATTGGGCAGATGAAAAACTTTGTAGGATGAATATGTTTTTACCTTAGGTATATAAATGTACTTTTGTTTCTTGAGTTTTTTTCAATTTTTAAGAAGCATTCCAACAGTGAATTGCATGTTTTGCCTTCACTATTTGTTTTTCCAGTCGCCTAAAATCAGCAAATAAAGTGATACATACCCTATCACTACTTCATCGTCTTCATCGTCATCATCATCATCATCATCATCAAAGCCTTTTCCCAACTAATTGGGGTCGGCTATTCCCTATCGTTACTTATTGAATATAAATAAATCTCTTTTCTATTTCTCAAAAAAAAAAAAATCCCTTTTCTGTGCCCCAACCATTCCTAGGCATTGTTCGGGTGTAAAACATGAAGTGTCAGTATCAGTTGTCTTGGTACCACAAACGATCAATGTTATTGCAAGATACACCAGAAGAAAAAAACCTTAATATTGAGTGATTGCACTGACTAACATGAATTGACCATTGTTGTATTGCTGTTGATGTTGATTTTGAGTGTGGAAGATTTGAATTTTTATTCCCGTACATCGGAATTTTTAAGCTCAAAGAATTGGTAGAACCACCTTTTCTTTCTTTTTCTTTTTGCCAGTCTAGCTAGAATTCAAACTTCCGATGTTTAGGCCAAAACCCCTGAGAACTGATATTGGAAATTGATAAACTGATCTTTATCTTCAACTAAAACTCAAGGCTTTATACTAATGTGAAAACCAAAGTCAAAAGTTTATAATAAAATCAAAACTCACTTTCTCATGATTTAGTGAGATTGGATGGCCAAGATTTAAAAGATCAATGCTGTCATTATTTGTGATCCTATTCCTTTCTGGCAGCTAAGAAGTAGTTAATGGAAATTTTGATTCACATAATCATACTTTTCATACAAATTATTGCAGCATAAATCAAACGTGGAAGTGGAAGTGAATGAAATACATATCATGGTATGGGAGGTTTTTTGTTGGAAGAGAATTTTAAACAACAAAAATAGGGTTTGTTTCTGAAAAACTTTATGGTCATGATCTTATGTGCTACATAAACCACTTCATTTATGATATTGGCATGTTGTATGATGGCAAGTGCAAAGTTGCCACTGTGATATTTCATGATGCTTTTTCTCAAGGAAAAGTTGGCCAATAGAAAATGTTTCATTTTTTAGCCTCTTGTTTTAGGAAACCAAAGTAACTTTTAGTTGAATTGGTGCAGGGATGACTCCGATCTTATGCATGTGCATGGAGCACATATTTTATCACATCCTGGAATGTGTGAAGGCGATCCTCAACAGAAGGTTTTGGAAACTTTGTTTAATATTCCTGAGAGTACTGAGCATGAACCAAAATATATGGATTGGAAGAGTGTCACAAACAAGTTGGAGGCATCTGGCGAAGGACTAAAATTTCAATCTGGCGAATTGCAACCTAGTCTCGTAGAAGGTATTTGACTCGTCATCCCCACTGAATTACCCAAAAAAAAAAAAGACATCATGATAGCATAAATTAACTTATATATGATGCCTGTTAACAAGTACACTTGTGCTAGAGATCCAGGTTATGATATATGATTCACAGATGCTTCAAAAAGGGTATGGTTTTCATGTTGGATACTTTGGAAAAATATCTAAAATCACAAAAATGATGTTCGAACCATGTCCACAGCCATATTCCTGCATCATAGGTTTTAATCTTCTCTTTGTTTTTTGTTCATGAATCCATCTACTTTGGCCTTTTATTCTTTTGGTCATTGTGATTCTTAAATCACTTGATTAGTTAAATTCAAACCCAAGTTTGTTATTAGAAAAATTGTGGGCTGCCTCTTACTCACTGCTCGTTGGAACACTGTAAACTTTATATTATCTATATATTGTCGATGACTTAAATTTTTGTTTTTTTGAAACTGTTTGACTGTTATATAAAAAAATAGTAGTTACATTGCCACCGAAGTGGTAAAAATTGGCATCCACAAAATGGGTGCTCAGATTATAAGGAGGGAAGAGAAGAAGCAAAAACTACAATAGAGAAATAAAATATATAATGACGAACAGCTGAATATCTAAAAATGTCATCAAAACATTGGAGCATCATCAATTTTGAGAGTCCGCAGAAGATGTCCACATAGTTGGATATAATACAGTTACCAAAAAATGAGTGTAGACTGCTCCTTGGAATCAGAATGCAAGGGGCCAGAAGGAGAGCCCTACTGTCGAGTCAGGATGTGATGAAGATGGATTCCATCACCAAAAAATATTTATACAAAACAAAGAGAAATAGAAAGAAAGCACTAGTTAAACTACGTGCTTAGAATTGGAGGTGCTTATCGGTGTTAGCTTAGAAACTATATTGAAACTTACTCTTGATCTTCCAACATTTCCCTTAGGAACTCATTCCAAGGTCAACATGATAGATCCTATTGCATGGGTAATGCTGAAGCTTTTTAGTAAATATAAATGGGAATCATCCTCATCAGTTTGTATAGACAGTAAATACTAAACACATTGGAATGTCCACACAATCTTGGATTTGTCGGAGAGATGGAGAATTTATTTTAGAAAGTTTTAGTTTGAACAATGATTGAGAAAGTGCCTTCATGTTCTAATCTATAGATGGATCAGTTGATGCTTAATTTTAACTTAATTGTTTTCCGTTTTTCTTAGCAAGTGTAGGTAAAGGAGATGAGTACAAGTTTTTTCGGAAACCTGCAAGACTGCATTGGGATGATATGAAATCCCTTTACAAAAGAGTAAGATTGGAAATTTCACATTTTTGTTGATTCCATGGCTCATGTCTGTGCAGCTTAAGGACTTTTAGGTATGGGCTCAAGGCTAGGTGGCCAAGGTGGGGGATTACTACAACATGACGTTTTGAGTTCCATTCCTACCATGGGTAGAGGATCGCATCCCCACTATATTACCCCAAAAAAAAGAAAAGCTAAAGGACTTCTAATTTAGTGCAGTCCCTTATCTGAAAATCATATTAGAAAAGCTCTATTTATTTATTTATTTATTTATTTTGTAGTTTAGCGTAGTAATGGAACTCTGGATATGGTGTGGAATGCTGCCACCCTGACCACCGAGGCCTAGGGACCACATTCCCAAAAGCTTTAGTTATTGAATATTATTTATTCTTCTGCAGGCAGCAACAGCATACACAAAGGGTGAGTGGGCTAATGCTGCTCATCTTTCCGAGAAGGTATGAAATAGCTAGCAAATATCAGCAATATTGCTTTACAAATTGAAACTTCAAAGTTATAAATTCCTTTGTCGCACTTTCATGGATTCTGTAGAAATGTTCATAACAATTTAAAACTGGAACTTCCTTGTCACAGAAATTACATATTCATTTTTACTCAATAAAATACTATATTTGAAACTGGAGAAATCCTTATTCACATGGAATTTTTACATTTGAGTTGGGATGTTGAGTCCAATCAAAAAAGGGGGACCTTAGATGTGTTCCTTTCTTTGACATTGATCTTCTTGAATAAATGAGAGTTGTTAATTGCACTTGAGGGTTTGGGGTATGATCCGGTAATCAGGTTGTTAGACATTGCTTCAAACTGCGAGGCACTATCTAAGGTCTTGACTCGAGGCAAATGTGTGGATGTTAGTAAAATCTGTTGACCTCTTCAATGTCTAGTTACCCCAAAAGCTAGGTTTGTCAGAGTTTTATATATATATATATATATATATATATATATATATATAGAGACAATAGTATTTACTATAG